TGTTCGGCTCTGACTTTATCATTTAACGCTTTTTGATAAGCATTTATTAGGTTAGTGTGGTTTTCATTAGTGTCAACTGCCTTTCACATGTTAGCAAACATTTGGTGGGGGGTAGCGGTCGGGTCGTATCTAAAAATAAATGTTTTAGGAGATTTCATAACTTTACAATATTTTTTCTAATTTGCCGAAGCGAGTTTGAACTTTTTCTCAAAATAATTCTTCAACTTGCTTCCGCGAAATCCAAACAAAAGGAGTTCCTGGTTTTTCTCTGTCGATATGATAACGGAGAACCTTACCATGGTGATTATCAAATAATACTCTTTCGGTCGTGTTATCTTCATTATAAGCAATCCAATTAATTTTCAATCCTTCAGGAAATTCCTTCCGTTTCTCATTAGGGAAAAGCCGCAATTTCATTATGACTACAACTCTTTTTCCCGCTTTGGTAATAAACACGCATCTTTGCGAGAAAATTCACTGCGGTTTGGCCTTCATTTATATATGTAATTTTTTTACCTATATTATAATTTTAACTTTGGTCTCCAGCAAAGGCTCTGTCTTTCACTATTAGAACATTTTTATATTCCTCACCTAATAACAAGATTAGTCAGAAAAAAGCCTAAAAGGAATGAATTAGCGAAAAATTACCAACAACATGTCCGCAATCTTGCCCCTACTCATTATGGTTGACAAAAACGATCCGGTAAAAAACTAACTAAAAAACAAAGAAAATATTATAAAAGTAGAAAAAAGAGTAAAAATAAAAAATAACTTATATGACTAACAACGCCCAAGAACAAATTAATTTAATTACCAATAAGTCAAAAATTAGATATTTAGATATTAGTAATAGAGATTTAACTGGTAATGTTGATTTAAAAGAATTTACCGGTTTAATTAGTCTCAATTCTTATAACAACAAATTTGAAAGTTTGGACTTTTTAAACTCTTTACCAAACAAAGAGCAATTAAAAAAACTAAACTTCTTTGGTAATCAGATAAAAGAAATAGATTTGGCTCATTTATTCAGTACTTTTCCTAAATTGGAGTATCTGAATTGTGAAAATAACCCTTTGTCGGCGAAAAACTTGGATAATTTATCCAGCGAACAGTTTGGCAAACTAGTAGCAGGAATTAAAGAGCAAAAAATCAGAATTAATTCTTGAAAAGGAACTATTTTGCTGGATTTGTTGGAATACACTCAAAAATTGGTCAGTCAAGGAAATAACAACCAGCAGCAGAACGCTCAATATTTACAAACTCTTATTCAGCAAGGAAGTTCGCCAGTTAAGGATAATAAACAAAATGGTAATAATAATCCTTTATTAGTTGGTGGTTTAGTGATTTTTGGAATTACTACCTTAGCAATTGACTATTTGTTAGGCAAAAAGTCAAAAGTTTTACCATTATGATAGTAGATAATAAAAAACTTCATTGTAAATTT